TTCCTCAACCCCCTGGACAAGGCCAAGCTCACACACTTACTGGCGCGATTACCGACATCAATGTCAAGGCTGAGAAAGGGCGACGTCGCAAGGATCACAAGCTTTGCGATCGCTCATGCAAGCCGGGGAGTTGACGAGGTTGTAGGAATGATCACATTCAACGTTGAGAAGCCAATTGCCCTTACCGGCGCAAATCCTGAGAAGAAACCAGACGCTAAAGACGTACAACCGGGCGCGCAGGAAGAGGCATCGAGGGAGGAGGGTGTTGACATCAGTGCTGCTAGCCTAGTAGGCTTGTATGTCGTAAGTGATATACTGTCGTCTTCATCAACAAGCGGCGTACGGCATGCATGGCGATTTCGACAACTGTTCGAGACATCGTTAAAGGACCGCAAAACCTTTGAAACACTAGGCCTTATGGCTGAGCGGCTTAAATGGGGTCGTTTACGCGCCGAAAAATGGAAGCGTAGTATTCACCTTGTCCTTAATCTTTGGGAGGGATGGTGTGTCTTCCCAGCTGAGAGCCATGAGTTATTTGTTCGAAGCTTCGAAAACCCACCATCATCGACTATTACCGAAAAGGAGAGTAACGAAGGGAGGAAGGGCAAATGGAAGACGGTGGAAGATGCTCAAGCGCGGGTACTGCCAGTATCAACTGCGGTTGAAGAAGAGGATGATGTGCCGGGCGAGGCGATCGAGGAAGACGATGTTATAGGGGAGCCGGTGGAAGAGGACGACATTGAAGGAGAACCTATTGACGAGGATGATATCGAAGGCGAGCCGATTGAGGAGGATGATGTGGTTGGCGAACCAATGGACGAGGACGAGGCTGTAGGAAGTGAACCGCCACCAGCACCTTTAGAACAGCCCCCCACTGAAAGTGGAAACAATGACCGAGAACAAGCGTCCAGAGCTGGACCACCTAGAAGGCGGATGCGAGCGGTGGACATGTTTGCGGATTCCGACGACTCGGAAAAGGAAAAGGGCGCATAACGATAGGCGAAGCTCGAGGATACCAGTTAATGAATTAAGCGTAACCGGTTCAATCTGCAAGATGGCGCAATTCAACGGCGCAAGACTAAAGCCAAGACCAAGACCGGACCAAGGAATCAGATGTGCTGTGAGTTGTTGTGTGACGCCAGGCCTTTGAAGATCACATTGAAAAGATACAATATCAAAGCCAGTCATGGAGAGTCACGCTCGACTAGGGGAAGCCGTGGCAAGAAACTAGGCGAGGATCTCACAGGAGATGAGCCTAGAACAGAGAGAGAATGTAACGCTATTATGGAAAGGACATGGTTCTATGGGAATAAGTCTCGTAATCACTGTATCTTGGTTGGTTTAAGGCCTGTGAGGTTTAGAGCCGCGCATGGGCTGAAGCAACGGGCCGTGCCTTTGACGACTTGTAAGTTATATGATTTGGTACTCATGTCTACGTCACGGAGAATAATAATACGAATGGGATTATCTTGGTGTGCATGAAGCAAAGACAAGGTGAGGAGGAAGAAAAAGGGCAAGAGACTTGTGCATGAGCTATGATGGTGTTGAAGCGGCCGGGGCCTGTGAGCCAATGGAAACTTGCTCACCGGCCAGGTTGGCTGATGGAGCGAGCATACGGTAGTGGAGAGGTAAGAGAGAAGCGGCAAGAAGGTTAAAGAATTACGTTGGAGAGGTATTTTAAGTATCTGACTCTATCTGATGGTCTGGTAATTTTTTTAATATATTTTATCTTGTATTGGTGTCATTTGCTGGGTATCATACCGAGGCAGTATCGGCCGTCCAACGGAGGTAAATTGTCGGCTTCGGCCGATCAAATGCACTGCTCCGTACCGGCGGCCGGAAAATGGATGGGTTCATTCGTTTCTGTAAGGAACGGGGCTGCGGGATGAATTCGGTCTTGGCTTTTTTGAGGTTGTTGTCATGGAAATGAAGTCATGTTTTATTTCAAGACGTTGAAGATTATCCGTTACAAACTCCAGTATATTTATATATCCTCACTTGTCAATAATCTCGAACATGTCTATTCCGTGAATACATTCCGACATGACCTGACAAGACATCAAATGATAGATGCTGCACCTCAAGTTTGGCTTGTCACTAGCGTCGCAATGATCTTGCTAATCAAGTGCCTCGCTAGGATTAGACACCCTTTTGGAGCGCTTCTTGCTAGCCTAGCTTGTCCGCTGCAGCGCTGCAGCCCCCGCATAGTGGGGGGTTGATGCACCTTTGCAGGTAGAAAACCCGCTGTTCGCTTTTGCTGCTGACAAGGTAGCGGCAGACGCAGGCGCAGGCGCTGGGTCCCTGAATTACAAGACAAGTCTAGTCAACATCGCACTTCCTCTGGCTGGTCTGTTCTGTTGGCTTTGTTTCACCTTCTACTTTCAACACAACGCCAACGGAAACCATATTGGGCTTCAATCAGTCACTACTACAAGTCCACGTACACTCATAATTATTCTGTACACCAGCGAGTTCAAGTACGACAGTTTTGTATCGAATATCGAACCCCCACACCGAGATCGACGACTTGCGCTACAGCCGACACAAACCTCATCTTTTGTAGCCCCTCGCTCATCGCGGAGACATTACAAGCCTTGGTTATCGCCGAATAATTTGCGTCGCTTCACACGGATCCTCACATTTCCATGTCGAAATTCGCGAGAATCGCGTTCTCGTCGTAGGCTCGCTCCCGTTGCGGCTTTGCGCCGGCCACAATCCTTACAACCCATCCGTCTTGTTCCACCTCTGTCATCCGTTATACATACTACTCCTCGGACGACCTCCTCACCATGCCTCTCATCAATGGAATAAAAATGGCCTGGTATGTTGCCGCTCGGCCTGGCCTGATTGGCACCCGTAGGACTCGGTAGACTTGACTAACTCTTGACCTTGTAGCGAGCCTTGTATCCGGGGCCATCGCTCTACCAAGTGTACACATGCCAACGAGCGACTAATGGTGCCCGTGAGAAAGCCAGGCAGACCTCTAAGTAGCTGTCCTCATCCGGCCTCACGCCCATGCTCTTGCGGAAGGGTCACGGCTGCCATACCTAAGAAACAACCCTGCCATTGTGGTCCTAGTAAAGGCGCCGAATCACCAACTATTAACCCCGAGAATGGCGACAGTGCGAACAGCTCTGCACCCCAAAGCCCTGCTAGCAAGACCCCAGGCTCTGGTTATCGAGTGCAAAAGACGAGTTCCAAGGGGAGCAACTCGAGTCGCAGGGAATCGGTTGACCCGACAGCTTTGCAGCGGATGGATCCCAAAATGCTCAACATTCTACCTTCTTTCGAGGACGCCACCCCAAAGTCTCCTACACCCCTTGCTGATATGAATCCGTACGGGAGCATGGGCATGACTCCTGCAGAAAGCCCTTTTGGTCCTGTCATGTATCCAATGTTCCAACAAGTCCAAGCTCCTATTCTGAGCCCAAATAGCTCGAAAACGATAATGGACAACCACGCAGGTTCAATGACAACTACGCAAGTTCTAGAAGAACCAAACCCGCCTGCACCCAAAGTCGGATCTTGCTGTGGAGGAGGGAGTGCCCGAAACGCGGTCTCTACTCCTATAACACTCGCGTCTGTGCCGAGCCCTCCAAAACCCAAAAAGAGTTGCTGTTCTTCGAAGAATGACTCACCCAAGACTGACCAGAAGACTGATGCTATACCACCTGGCGACTTACCCACGCCCAATAGTATGATGATGCCTTTTCCGGCACCCGTCATAATGCCTAATGGCATGTATGCCTACTATCCTCAACCAACAGTATTCACCTACCCACCTCAGTATGGATCGTATTTGCAGCCTCTTCAACCGGAACAATGGAGACAAGTCATGGCTACCATGACGTTTGCTAGCCAAGGAGGCATGCCGTCACCCTATGGTATGCCTGGTGCGACGCCATTCCAAACTCCGCACCCCGCCGCGGGTACTTCTCATCAATGTAGTTGTGGTGCCGCGTGTGAGTGTGTCGGCTGTGCAGCTCATCCGTATAACGAGGCGACACAGAACTATGTGAAATCGGCTTGGCAGAGCATGATGGAAACAGGCTACACCCATGTCAACGGGCACAGTAACGGACATGTTAACGGCAGCGAGATACCAGCAACAAACGGCCACAGCATGAACGCAAACACTGCGGTTGCACCCTCTATCGGTTCGGCTGAGGGCACCGTGTCGCCAGTCGCCCCACAGACTCCTTCCGAAGCAGCCTCCGGTCTTAGTGAAGAGCAGGCATTGTCGGCCAATGACTTCTTCTTTGTCAGCTATCCATTTGGAGACTCGTGTGCAGGAGAGGAAGCGAGTTGCCCATGCGGAGATGACTGTCAATGCTTGGGATGTGTCATACATGGCAACAGTGAGGCAGCGGTGGAAGTAGAGAGCCAGGCCTAGAAGGCATTTATGCAGGAACCGGATAATATCAGAGCGCTAAATTACTCGATATCGCCCCCGGGCATCCGTTGATGCCAGAGGGAGCTGATTTTTTTCTGATTTTTTTTTTACCAGTCTGATGCTCTCAACATAACAGCATATTGAACAGAACGAATCTAGAAAACTATCATGACTTGGAGGAGCTCGTCAGATTGGAGGAGGATATATACCCTTTGTGAGCGAACATAAGCGGAATAGCAAGGTCGCTGAGCGACCAAGAACGCCATAGCGCAAAGTATAAAAATACTTTGGCAGAATACGTCCGTTACTTAAAAGTTATTTGCGTATAATGGAGTTTATTTTCCCTCTATGCCCGCATGTTTGAGGTATCATGAGAAAATTTAATGTATAAAATAAAACAGATCTCGACTCGAATATAGACAATTGGAGCTACTGGTAGCGTAACGTTAGAGAAAAGCGGGGCACACTGTGCTATCCCTTGACCTCAAAATCTCATCTATTTAAGAGCTTTGAACTTGTTTTAACTGCATGTTTCAATATTGGTTTATCGAATTTGAATCGCATGTCTTAGTATCCGGATTACTCGCCATAATATACCAGAGTCAAAATGGGGAATCATGATAAGGTCCGCGAAAGGTCACCGCGCCGGGACTATGGCTCTCACAACAGACGGAGCTACGATCGCGACAATAAAACCAGCACGCGCTCACGCTCAAGATCACCAGCGCATGAACGATCAAAATTATCATCATCACGACATGAAGGACGTTTATCTGAGCCAAGTCATCGCCATTCATCATCCAAACATCATGATGGCCATCACCATCACCGCTCATCCCACAAACATCGGGATCATGCAAGTCGTAGAACAGAAGTCGCAGTCAGACTTCCGTTTGATGCCCGACCTTTATCAAAAGCAGACCTGACTGCCTTTGAACCGCTTCTTGGCGAGTATCTCAGTGTCCAGAAGCAAAAGGACATGACGCAAATGGATGACCGTGAGGTCAAGGGACGATGGAAGAGTTTTATTGGGAAATGGAATCGCAATGAACTTGCAGAGGGATGGTACGACCCTGATACTTATGCTCGTATCACCGCGGAAAATCCAGTGACAGCTCGACCGAGACGTGCTTCAGTGCCCAAGGAAGAAAAAGAGGAGCCCCTCAAGGATACAGGGAACCAAGGTAGCGAAGATGAGGATGATGACTATGGACCTCCTCTTCCAGGATCAGATCGCGCACGACGTTCCGGCCCAGGCATCCCCACGCTCCAAGATTTATCTTTACGTGCTGAGCTCGTCGAGGAAGATAAACAAGCATCCATCGAAGACATCCGCAACGCACGCAAAGCCGACAGGGCTTTACAGAAAGAACGACTCGATGAGCTGGTTCCCCGTGCCGAAGCTGGAACGCGTGAGCGCATGCTCGAAAAGAAAACAGCCGTTGCAGATAAGATGCGCTCGTTCCGTGACAAGAGCCCAGGCGCTATGGAAGTTACTGACGAGAAGGAGCTCATGGGTGGCGGCGATTCACTAGACGAGTATAAAAAGGCCAAAGAGAGAGAGCAGCGACGCAAAACGGAAAGGGAGATTCGCAGAGAGGAGATCGACAGAGCCAAGAGGGAGGAAATGGAGGAGAAGAAGAGGGTCTACATGGAGAGAGAGGAGGGTACTGTGAGTATGTTGAGGGAGTTGGCGCGACAGCGATTCGGATAGAGAACTCCCTTTCTGTCTCGGGGGTCTGAGGTTGTGGCAATGGGCGCAGTTTCTATTCGTGTATATTGCTATTGTTGGCGTACCTATCGCATATAATGGCGTTAAAGCAAGAGGTGGATTTTTCACGCACTGTGAGCGCACATTTGGCCCACCACTCAGACCAAAACTCTTTTTTCCATGACATTCAACAATATCGACCGACGGCGCTTTGTCTCTAGAGACTGAGGTTTATTAGAGAAAATACCAGAAAAAGAGGTCAAGGCCCCAAGACCAGCTTCATACAGCCTACGGAATATCTTAGCTACCTTCACCGGATCGCCGGAATCTTACTCCAAACCTCACAATTTTGGTCTACACTCACTCACCATTAAACTACCACCATCGCTTATCACAATGTCTGGAGAAGTAGACTACGGCTTCGGCGACCTCATGGACGACCCAGAGGATTACTGCCCCCCTACGCCCCCGCCTACATCTCAGGTTTTCACTATGCAGAGCGGCAAGCCTATAACTTTGCATCTTGTCGGCGCCAGCCCTACTGAGGCTCATCATCTGTGGAACGGCGCAAAGATGATTTCTGATTTCTTCGAGGAGGATCCCTCACGGGTGAAGGACAAGACGGTTCTTGAACTCGGTGCTGCCGCTGGTCTTCCCAGTCTTGTCGCTGCTATCCTGGGTGCGCGCAAGGTCGTCGTGACGGATTATCCGGACCCTGATATCATCAGCACCATGCAGAAGAATGTTGACGAGTGTGACGAGACTGTCGAGCCTCGTGGCCGCATCGCCAACACTGTCGATGCCATGGGCTTCGTTTGGGGCGCTGACTCGGTCCCACTGCTGGCTCGTCTGAACCCAACCCATGATTCTCACAAGGAACGTTTCGATGCTCTTATTCTAGCTGATCTTCTATTCCGACACAGCGAGCACGGAAACATGGTCAAGACGATCAAGGAGACACTCAAAGTCTCCCGTGAGAGCGTTGCCTACGTATTCTTCACCTCTTACCGGCCATGGAAGAAGGAACTCGACATGGGCTTCTTTGATATTGCGCGCGAGCAAGGCTTCGAGGTGGAGCAGATTGCTGAGCGAAAACTCGACAAGCCTTTGTTTGAGAACGACCCTGGTGATTTGGATGTTCAAAAGACTGTCAAGGGATTTGCTGTGCGGTGGTCCGCCGAGGCGTGCAACTGAGGGATTATGGTAAGGCAGATAGACAAAATGGCTTTGGTATAGGGGATAGTAAGACTTGAGAATCGGTATAATGAATGACGATTATGACAACAAACAGTTGATACTGGCGTGAAATCTCAATACACGCGAGGCGTCTGACTACGAATTGATACTCCCAACTGTTACGTTACTTGAACCGACATCGCAGATGCAACGAGCCGGCCGTAACAGTAGTGGAATTCCCCACATGGGTTTGATAAAGAGGACTCGTAGCACGAAAGAAAGAAAACACCTGCCTTATTACCTGCAGCCGTTTAACAATACTGAAACCCTTTTCTGCATATATCCGCGCCAAGTCTCGCTTCGTCTCGAGATACCCCGAAGCATCTCCAACATCTACTACACTGCCTGCCCTTCTGGCCGAAGAGTTGTTACAAGCCTTGTATCCCCCCAGGTGTGCTTAGGTAGCTCGAGAGAGGGGTTGCGGAATTCTGCCCTATTTTACCGGCGGTCCACCGGCTAGTTCATCGTTCCGCGCCGCACCGCACCACCGTAAGCCGCAATAGACAACGCCGGTGCAATATCACATCATATACCATGCCAACTTCGCAGTACCTCCAAGATCTCGACAGAGACGGCTTTGTCGTCATCAAGTCGATCGTGGACAGTGATAAGCTCGAAGCGTTGCGCGAGGTTAGCTCAAAGGCAACTCAGCTGGCTCGCGATGGACAATGGCCGTTTGTGCGTACGGTCCCAAAGCAATTCCCTCCGTGGGACGCGAGCCAAGCGCGCGAGCACGGAATATGGGGCGTGCAGCATCTCATGAACCCTGAACTTCCAGGCCACGAGCTTTTCACCGAGCTGTACTTTTCTGAGACCATCTTGGGTATTGTAAAACAGTTGCTACAGTGCCAAGATGAGCATCTCGTGATGGAGCTCTTCAATATGCTTGTTAGGCCAGAGAAGGATTTTGAGTTGAGATGGCATCGCGATGATATCCCCGCTGAGGCTAGTCAAGAGGAAGAGATGGAGCGTCTTGGCAAGCACGCCTACCATGCTCAGTATAATTTTGCCTTGTGGGAGGATGAGTCTCTCATCGTTGTGCCCGGTTCACATAAGCGCGCCAGGACCTCGACTGAGCGAAACGCTGACCCGTTTGCCAAGTATTTGCCTAACCAGCTCATTGTCAAGCTAGAGCCAGGTGACATTGTATTCTACAACAATAACATTCTGCATCGTGGCGCCTACAATAGTAGCAAGGAACGAATGACGCTGCATGGCTCAGTCGGTCACATACAGGGCAACAGTCTCCGAGCGAGGAACGTCTTACAACACGGAGTTGGTAGCTGGGTCGACAAGTGTGATTTTCAGCCACTCCTGGAAGATGATAGGCGAAAAGCCGAAGAAATGAGACAGCGTCTAATCCGCCTTGGCAGCGAAAGCGGTCAGGTTGGTTACTCACTCCAAGGCTGAACGGCTGGGGAAGAACGAGATAAGACATCAGAGTTGCTTTGATGTCATACCTAGCTTTGGCGCTCACTTATTGAGGCGGGCCTCAAGTTATAAGAGGACGCGAGGGGCGTATTCGGAAAGGGGTGTTAAGTGGCTACGATCTGTACTTGGACACTGACTCCGTGATCAGAGACCTATGTAGGTAGCCAATGTATGTTTGACAAAAGCAGTCATTCTGATCAAGACATGGGATGTGTGCCAGTAATAGCCAATGTGATTATTGTTAGTGTCTTGGCTTAGTATCAGACATTCTCTGAATCTGTTCTTGTATTACGAGCATAACACGATTTGAGCTACCTTGAATGTCCTCAGTTTCACTGTGATATATCAGCCAGTGAACCAGATCTGAGTGGCTTGGAGTGGCAGACACGACAGAGGGAAATGAGAATTCACGGGGAGATGGCCGATCTTCCGATGACCATCTTTTGATGGCCCTTGATATATGTATACGTATTCATGGGATTCTGAGCCGACCCCGCATCTTAATTACCCCGGATGCAAAGGGTATGTCGGATCATTTGGGGATCCCGGATTTTCAGCACGTAAAATGTTGAGTAGGCTGAACTTAATTATTGCCGGTCCAGGGCAAGACATTGTTGAGGGTGTAGCTGCCTGAACTTCCCAGCTCACAAGTAACAAGGCATGGCATCTTGTGCAGATGCGAGTCAGGCAGGCTGGCAGGTATCTCTATAAGTTTAACTTGATCAGGTCAACAAATGATACAGCGTACCGTAGCTCGGAGTCATCGACAAACTTTCTTTCATTGGACTCGGTAACATCCCGGTGGAAAGAAAAAAGGGTGGGCTCGGCTTATACGCGGTTTATGATAGGAAACCCCACGGGGAAATGAAGCCTCACGCGGGGGCAAATCCCGACGATTGAGTGCCATTATCCATCACCCATCATCTAGCGGTCTGCACCTTCAGGGGGCAGCGGGCAGAGTAAATACCTGCATAGTGGCGGCGGCATGGTGCAGTAGACAGGACAGGGTAAACATCCATGAGCTCATGTTCCAATGCATAGCTCGGGAAAAGTCCAAGCCAGAGTCCAAGTGTACCGTAGAGAGACGAGGTTCTTGTCTCAGTCGCGTCTGGATCAAGATCCTAAATCTAGACTACCCCACACGCACCGACCACCAGTCCCCGCACCTCCATAAGTCCCCAGAACTCGCTTGTCGTGAGCTAAACCCACCCACCAGGCCTAAGCATTGAAAAAATTAGCAAATACTAATAGCATCCTTCCATACAAATTTACCGTTGATAGTGGACGTCTGTGAACCGTTCTTGGTAATTGTGGCCGGGATGGTTTCTGAAAGTGGCTAATCGTAAGCTCATCTGCGGAAACCTGGTTCATCGGTTCCCCAATTCGAGTGAATTCGTTGTTCCCCAGCCAGACGCGAGCCATTCAGGCTGGCGTGCTCTGTAGGACTGCTTGACAAAGACAAGGCTGGCTATTGTCGGCCATCCAATAAAAGTCTTGTCAGGAATCGATTGATTCAACAAAGTTGTGGGCAGACCCCCAACACGTCGCTCATGAGCAAGGACCCTGGACCTTGGCGCAGAGGCTGATCACCACCGTGATTTGTGATGGTGTTGCAGTTACGTGGAGGCGAGTGTAGCGGAGGAGGGAGGAAAAGAAATAATGAGAATGATGGCCATGGCTGTCAAGCTTTTGGCAAGATACGACGAGTGGACTGTAATTTGTGTAACTTGACACTCGGAGGGTATCACATTGGGCAAGCAGATAACATATTTGCTCATCGTCTCCGATACATATCACGGCCCCCAAGCGCCTGTGTGATCTTCCCGATCCCACCACTTGAGAGAACAGAGTTTGGGGGCAACTGAGTGATTGTTCCGGTCATCTCGTTGCTTTTTGGGAGTCTCAGATTTGCCTTGCCTATGTCTTGTTGTTTCGAGAGGATCAGCAGCATGCCGTGGTCGTAACATGACACAGGATGTCTTGGTGATCATAGCATAGCATGGCATGGGTACGTGATATTACGCGACTGCGTCGTGGGGGAGAGGGAAAAAAGATAAACGAGGAACTATTCCTGGTGTTGCTCTCTTCCTTTGCTCCGCACCGACCTCGTCTCCGCTTCACGCCCTAAAAGAGAAGCGATTTTCATTGGAAAAAGTTATCTCATGCGTTTTGATTCTCCAAGTAACGGCGCAAAAGGCGGCATGAGGAGGAAAAGAGGAGTAGCTTTGATTGGATGCGAAAAGGTTGTGATTTGTCGAGGATTGAACAAAAACTTATCACGTGTAGAAAAAAAGTGCAAGTGCAACTGAAGCAATTTCAAGAAAAAGGAAGGCACTTTTTCAATAATGTGTGTTTCATCATTTGTACCTTCCGGTTGCGTACAACATGAGGTGAGGGCAATAGCAGACCAGCCTGTACAATTGACTAACACGGTATGATACCCGGAGATCGACCGACGATGATCCGGTCTCCAAATACCACTCAAAATATTAACCTGATAGAAGAGTTGGGAAACGAGTTTTCGCTAAATAAAACGACGCTGATTCCGTAAATGTTCAGCTCTTCGTGAACCACAAAAAATGCCAAGTGCTCACTCAATGTCGGCGAAAAGCGACACCTACTTTGGTAACTGTAGACGACCGTTTACCTGCCGTAACCAGGTAGACTCGGGGGTTGAGATCCATGAAAGTTGTCATGATTGGCTCGGAAAAGTATTTTCTGCTTGTAAGAGATGACAGACAAGGTGGATCAGTCTGGCCGCCCTAGCGGTCTCCAATCCCCATGGGGGGCAGTCTAGGCTCCCCCCGCATATACTTTACGGTACTTGGGTTCCATCGCTCGGGTAGTAGCCGCGGAGGTTCGGTATCGTTGGAATGCCCAGAAAGATACAGGGAAAAACTGGAAGGGAAACGGGATTTCTCCTACAAAAGGACTTCTGCTTGCATCATGCATACAGACTGTAAATATTTATATATGTTGTCACTAGATCGATCACGATTGCAGCTTGGGAGCCGAGATTGATCATCAACTGTTTGCGATTAACCGTCCCCCCTTCCCACCAACTTGATTTTTTTTTTTTTTTTTACATGTGCCTTGGCTATCAATAAACACAGCTGTTCCTTCACGGTGGCTTACAAACAATACTGTATCTTTTACCTCGCGGCTCACTCTGACACATGCCCAGGGTGGCTTAGCAATTCTGACTGGGTGAGAGTTTACTTAGCTGCCCGTGCAGAGCTGTTACAATGGCCTGAATGGATGGGAGTTTAGGGGGGATTCATTCATTGATGACGAAGGCTACAATACGTTACAAGCCTCACTGCACGCCCCCAAGACGTCGCGGCCTTGGCTAGGCTGGGCTTGCGTTGAGGTTATTTCAACTAACAAGAACAAGAACAAAGCTTTACTGGCACGAGCTTGGTCCTACCGTTTCTCTGTTTCTCCCCAAGCTGCCAGTGCCTTGTTGCCTTGCGCTGACCCGTGCTGGCGCACAGTTGTGTAGAGTGTAGTAGGTAGGGACGGCAATAATCCCGTCCATTCCGTGCCCCTAGAATGGAATGTTTGAGTGCTAATCGTAGAGGCATGATAGGCTATATTCTCTCGTGTTTGTAACATTGATAATTGATCAAAATCTTGGGTATATGCTACATCCTTTATCGCATTTTTGTTTTCTTTCTTTTCTTTTTGCAGCTGTCCCTGTCATTTTTCAATTCCGCTTTGTGGCTTGCTTGTTTTGGCGGAATCAGTGGCTCCCAGACAGATCCATTCCCCCAGATTGATGCAGTCGGGTTAGTTTGCCCACTCACACTCCCCACACTTTGTTCTCGCTTGAATAGTGTCAAGATTTTAATCACTTACGTACAAGACAACTTGAATCTGATAGGGAAGAAGGATTAAGACTATCTTCAGCAATATAATTCCGGATATCCTAACTGCTAGCATGTATGCATCTCGGTCAAATCTTCCCCATCTTATTCTAATCCGTTGATTCTGTCAACTAAGCTTGGCACCATCAGGAACACTAAGTTACGTTAAGGTAATGGAAGCACCGGGCATCCAAGTAAGTACCTCCTAGTACTGTAGCTTATCACCTCCAATTTCCCCGCCCTGGCCCTTGCGCCCGCGCTACGCCGTCATACCTTGTCCAACCTGTAATCCGAGCCAGTGTCTCCGTCTTCTCAGCAGTCTCCGAACGACTTTACAGTGAGTTTGTTAGGGGACTGGCTGGCTGTACGGAAACCTTGCCACACCATTCCTGCTGGGCTTGTCTCCTCTCTTCCCCTCTTTCCCTGGACTGGCTTGGCTGGACTCTTTCGCCACGTCTGTTTCTCTTTTTTAATACTTACACCCCTGTATCGTCGTCTGGCTGGCTCGGCTCTTTCTGTCCCTCTCTCGGCGTATCGACGTGGCATGCTGAAGCTGCCCTACAGGCTACGCCTCGGTGTACTCCGCCGACCGCCCACTGACAGAACTTTGCGGCGAGCCCTTTGATTGACCTGACATGAATCTAGACCCAGTGGCTCCTGGTCACTGAATAACCTATGATTCCAAGTCAGCGTGCACCGTACCTTATCTAAACCTCTCCTTTCAGTGCTGTATTGCATTCTTATAGTGGGAATTATTATCTTGATACTTGAGATCTCATAAATGTGCCATATTGTCATAAACCCACATCCACGACTACTCCATCTTTTGTAGATCCGGTATCAGTGCCAGTCTCTCGGGCGTTAAGCCGGTGACTTAGACCGCAAACTCTGACACGCGCCAACCCATCTATTATGTTTTCCCCATTCTCTCCTCTCCTCTCCTCCATGCCCCGGGCAAAACCCCTCCTTGCTCTACCTATGTAATTCCGCCCTTCCTCTCTGGGTACCTGCCTGTCTAGTTTTCTCCTCTTCCACAACCTCGTTTCCCATCCACCCATATTCGTCCACAGATTACAAGGGCAAAACGTGATATTTACCGGATGAATTGATAGACGACAAATAAAAGATCTGGGCTTGATAGACCAAGGTCTTGGTTGGAATTTTTGAAAAATCGAAAGCAATATCCATATTCACGGTTCGGTTCGGCATCATACCGAAAACATCGTCCCTCCCTCCATACGGCATCACAACTACAATCACAAGTTGACTTACAACAACCACAATTACCACCACCCAAAAGTTGACGAGACCGGAGAGACGGTACGGCAGAGTACTCATCCAATAACGTGTTACACTCGGCCAACTCAGGTATTGCGCCGTACCTTTTGATGTCGGCACGAGAGGGGAAAAGCCGAGATACCATACTGCAGCGTACCTACCGTATGACACGAGAGGGGAAGCACTAAGGGGGCGTCTTCTGTTTTTGTGTATGGTTTGGTTTGGTTTGGCTTGATTTTGAGGCTTGCTGTCCGTCGTTGACCTTGTTGACCTTAACCTTGGCCTTGATCTCAACCTTGACCTTGTCCCCTCCATCTCATCCCATCCAGCTCCTTGGATTCATTCACTCTTCTTGGCTTAGGCTTGGATGCTTGGCTGTGGTCTTTTTTTCTTCTTTCATACTGGACCTGGACCCTAGTCACTCCTCCTTCCTTTCAGGCGCTGCCCCCCGTTCTTCCCGTCCACCCCATCTCCATCTTTCCTTCCCCCATCCCCGTCTCGTCTTGTCTTGTCTCTCCCGCGGAAGGCAAACCTAAGACCAAGCCCAAGCCCAGGCCTCCACCTTGCCTTCCACCTTTCACCCTCCACACACTCCACCCTCCTTTACAACGCTTGTATTGTATGTACTTACTGCAACTGCATTGCGCTGCACTGTAGCTCACGGGCCACCGTCTATTTCCTCCTCCACATGCCATGCTTTACCCTTAACGCACCCCGCAATCTTCCTGCATCTATCTCCCCAGTTCCAGCTCCAAATCCCAAATCTGTGTTGCTCTACTCTGTTCTGCTCCTTCTTTTCTTCACTATCTCTTTTATCTCTCCTCGATATCTTTCACCCCACATCTCGATATCAAACATTAAACATACTAGAAATCGACCAAGGACTTGTTATCTGAGCCTGCGTATCCACGATGCTTGCTATTCAGTCCATGGAAGGCCCTCCTCGGCCTCTTCCTGCTCCTCCTCCTGCTCTTGTAGGCCCAGAGTCAACTGAGGTTCGCCAGCCAAAGCCCAAGACTCTTCCCTGCAAGTACTGTAGTAAACGATTCAGGTTCGTTATCTTTCTCCTTCACCGACGATTCCATTGTAGGCTGACCAAACTTCGCCATAAAGACGTGTCGAGCATGTCCAGCGCCATGAGCGAACACATACCAAAGAGAAGCCATTTTCATGTGGATGGGATCGCTGCGGAAAGACGTTCGGACGAAGGTACGTTATTCTTAGTTCCCCTATATTCCCCAGTCTCTCAGCCCGTCCCACCCGGTCACTCATATACTGTAACTGAGTCACCACTCACTCATCCACTCATTTCTTAACCTGTGTTATTTCATGACCTCTGCCTCGTTTCCTGTCTATGCGAGCGCTATCCCAACCGGGACTTACACTTCACCTCAACTCTGTCAACACATATACTGACATGGATATAAGGGATCTTCTTGTTAGACACGAGAAGCTCGTGCATCTCAACGAAGGTAGCAAAGACAACAGTCGACCCAGGAAGCTGTCGTCTAATACATCTTCAACCTCACATAAGAGCTCTATCTCTGAAGGCCAAACAAACACTGAGGCTATCGGACATCAGCATACCAATGTTTCACGGCCCCCGCCACCTCAGCAACCTCTGCCACAGCCTCAGGCTTATCACCATGGGCCACCTCCAGGCCCCCAACAAAGCCCTCACGATCACCGGGCACAACCCCGATCAGCAGCTTGTAATCTTGACCTATTATCCGACGCAGCCCTTGCGAGTTCAGTGACGCCTGTTCAGAGAAATGCTGCGCCAGCGCCTCTCCCACCACATTCTCCAGAATCCCGAAGAAAGAGCAGTTATGGAGAATCTATCGTTGCCTACACGACGGAACGCCCACGAGACGACCAACCTTTGGGATCTGGCTATGTACCTCAGCAACCACCTCCTGGGACTTATGACGATTACAACCCATTCCTTGACGAGTTTGCTTCTTCTTCTCACTTTTTGCCCCCGAGCTTCGAAACCGAGCAGCAAATGATGTACTCTCGAAGCCAAGGCGGGACCGCTCAACGACGTTTATCGAAATCTTCATTTCTTCCGGGCCGTTTCCCGCCCATGCAGACTGAAGCCCGAGACCCTGCAGATCCTGCCTCACGAGGTATTGATGAAGCAGCGCGACAGTCTGCCCTTCGTATCTCTGTAGCCGACCATACCGTGATCAAGAACAGACTGGACGAATTTTCTGCCGTTCTACCCAACGACTTTGTGTTTCCTTCACGACATACTTTGACACGATTCTTAGAAGGCTATATCAGCGGGCTTCATGAACATCTGCCTTTTCTTCATCTTCCCACTTTCTCACCTGCCGAAGCCGCGCCCGAGTTGCTCCTTGCTATTCTTGCTGTAGGAGCACAGTATCGCTTTGAGAAGAATAGAGGCTATGCCCTATGGTATGCTGCTAAGGCTGTAGCCATGGAACAGATTCGTCGAAGGCGTATCTCGGAGGTACATGCACTGTTGCCGACTGCGGCTGCTTACAGTCCTCACTCGACACGCCCTTCACCAAGTGCAACATATCGTCACTCATTTGCATCTGCACAGTCCGAGCGGCCAGCAACACAGGATACTCACCGTGAGCCTTAGTAAGTTCGCACCTTCATCAACTAAAAAGATCTTCATTCTGACTATGCATCTAGCTCTCCTAATACGCCTCAAGCTCGGATCGAGACTATCCAAGCAGTTTTGCTTCTATTCGCCATTGGCCTCTGGGGTGTGCCAACTATTCTCCATGAAGCACTATCCTTGCAGAGTAATCTCGCTATCTTGATTCGGGAAGAAGGCTTGGTTGCTGAAGTTAACCAAAGTGTGGTCAACGACTGGGAAACGTGGATTCGACTCGAGACTGCGACACGGACCAAGCTTGTTGCCTACTGTTTCTTCAATCTTTGTAGCATTGCCTACAACATGCCACCGTTGCTTTTGACATCTGAGTTGAATCTACTCCTGCCTCAAAGAGGCAAGCTCTGGAGGGCTGAGACGGCCTGGCAATGGCAAGAAATGCGACAATCAACACCGATCATTGAGCTCACCTTACACGATGCTTTTTCACGACTATTCGGCCGGACAAACCAAGGCCTTCCCCAGCACCTGTCGTCCCTAGGCAGTTACGTTCTCATCCACGCACTTATCCAACACATTTACTTGCTAAAGCAGACATCTTTTGCGACTGGTCTACCATACAACATTCATCGAACCATGAAGCCTGAGGATGTTGAGGAGGTTTCGCAAGCACTTCGTGTATGGCAGACTAGCTTCGAGGATCAGCATCAGCTGAGGGCTGCGGAATCTGGCCACTATAGCATATCAGATTCAATTGAGGGCGGAACTCTGGATTACACGGCAACTGCCTTGTTGCGACAAGCGTACATCCGACTCTATACAGATGTGACCCCTTCGACCGCGCTCGAGACTCGGGATCCGCTTTTGGTGGCGTCCGCCTTGAGTAGGACCCCCTTACTAGTACGAAGCCTAAGACTGCATAGAGCAGTATTTCAAGCAATCCATGCCCTGTCTATGCTAGTCAAGGCTGGTGTCAATTACGTAGCCAGGACCAAGTCCGCCGACTGGAGCATTCAGCACTCATGTAGGTACTAATTGGAACGTTATTCTTCGACTCGATCACTAACTGGGTTCTATAGTGTGCAATTTCGAGTGTGCCATACTGGTATCTAAGTGGCTTTTGACAATTGGATCAATTGGACCGCATGATGCGCCTGCTTCCCCCGAGGAAAAGAACTTGTTGGATATGGTGCGTCGGATGCTTGATGAAACTGAATTCGCGGTTCCGCCAATCGACCCATCGCTTTCAGGACAGAACGAAGCGCCATCAAGCGACAGCGCCAAGCTACGACAACTCGCGGTTGCGGTTGTGCGACTCTGGGCTGAGACCTTCAAGGGAACGCATATCTTTGAGATTGTCAAGGTCATGGGCCAGAGTCTCGACGCATATGCCGATTTGATCGAGAAGCCAAGAGACAGAAGTCCTCAAGTGCGATTATTGGAGCCAAACGTCAACTAAGAGGCATGATAAAATATTACTGGATATTCCCGACGATGGGACTGGAAGAAGATGATTATTGGAAATTTTGGGCGTCAGGGTTGGACATGGGTTTGGCACTCATCTTTCAGGAAGTGTGCAGCAGGGTTAGGAAAGCCAATGTGGTTATGATGATTTACGATGTGGTATATTCTGTATATCAAGGCGTTTTCAGGCTGCGTTATAAGAGCCTTTGATTTAAGCATGTTGTAAAATAAGGATGAAGTTGGAATTTGTTGAGCGAGGACGAGAGTGACTGGAGGTAGAGTTGAACATGAATACCTAGTAATTCAATACCAGTTGAGATCTAGTTTTTGATATAAATTTTACTCTTTAGGTTGATGATTAACAATCTAATATTTGGTAATGACTTGTTATTCGTGACAACTGCTAATAAAGAAGTTGTCGTGTTCCCCGCAAAGTTGAATCTGATGTACGGTAAGTTGCGGTACTCCTTTCCGCCTTCCGCATGTGAGAGTGGAGGACCGAGCCGAGTGTGGGGGAAGGAGTGGGTCTTTACTGGCATCATACCTCGGCACCTTTTTTAAGGTTGATCATGGAAATGGTCATGAGGGACTGGACAGGTATGGACTAACGTAGGTACTGAAAATATCTAAACAACCTCGGGTCAACTCTCTCTTCATTCTTCTTTCTTATGTGAGACGGCTTAGACTATATAGACTTAGATATACAGGATCTCTCCCCCCTCCCCCTATCTTTTACATCTTTTGCACTTTGTTTTTTACACAAAGACAATCATCACAATGCCTTTTGCGACTGAACTGACAAAACGACTGGGCATCAGAGGTTCGTATCACATTAACTCTATCACCAACGACTTAATACTAACCTTTAAAAATCAGTGCCCGTCGTGCAAGGCGGCATGATGCACGTTGGCACCGCCGATCTCGCCTCAGCCGTTTCCAACGCTGGCGGCCTGGGCCTCATCACCGCCCTCATCTACCCGACCCCTGAGGAACTTCGCAAAGAGATCCAGCGCTGTCGCACCCTCACCAAGAACCCCTTCGGTGTCAACATCACCCTCCTTCCTTCCATGGTCCCTCCCAACTACGCCGCTTTCGCCCAGACCATCATTGACGAGGGTATCAAAGTCGTCGAGACAGCCGGTAACTCGCCCGGGCCTGTCATTACGCAGCTCAAGAAGGCCGGAATCATCGTTCTTCACAAGTGTACCACCATTCGTCACGCGCAGAGCGCCGTTAAGCTGGGCGTCGATTTCCTCAGCATAGACGGTTTCGAGTGCGCTGGCCACGTTGGAGAGAGCGACATTACCAACTTTATCCTTCTTAGCAAAGCGCGTCAAACGCTGGGTGTGCCCTTCATCGCGAGCGGTGGCTTCGCAGACGGTTATGGACTTGCCGCCGCTCTGTGCCTCGGCGCTTGTGGTATTAACATGGGAACGCGATTCATGTGCACCGTCGAGGCACCCGTGCACATCAAGGTCAAGGAGGAGATTGTTCGCGCCCAAGAGACAGACACGACACTTCTTCTTCGACGATGGACAAACACCACTCGATTGTACAAGAACAAGGTTGCGCTTGATGCGCTTGAGATTGAAAAGAAGAGCGAGTCGGGTGAATTCGCAGAGGTTGCGCCTTATATGAGCGGTAAGCGAGGAAAGGAAGTGTTTATCACTGGAGATGTCGATTATGGCGTAAGTTTTTTGTCTTATATGTTAGATTGCGAAACGAGTTTGCTAACTGATTGTAGGTTTGGACAACAGGACAGGTTATGGGTTTGATCAACGATATTCCTACATGCGATGTGCTTGTTAATAGAATTGAGAAGGAGGCTGAGACGGCCTTGAAAGAGAGACTCGCGCTGTTGGTGCCAGAGTCTAAACTATAGAGCTAGAGTATACTAGACACGCGAGATTCTGTTTTTAGAGCATGTGCAAAGATCTATGTTTTGTTTTTGGTAGTAAATACAACTGATGAGCGATTCTACAGCACAAACAATCTATGAGAATACAACCTCTGTGCTTCTATGCCTGTACTTGTTCAAAGTCTTGTGTTTTATGAAACGCATAGTCTAGTCGGTGCCGCTTCACCTGGTCTGATGATTCCGTCTGCTTCTGCGGTCGAGGTTGCTGAACGATGAGTTCCGGAACGCCACGGTTTTCGAGGGACCATTCTTTTGCCTGACAGAGACTCACGCCCGTCTCAATGAGTGATATCTTGCCTCCAGGTCTTCCCATGGTCCAGCCTGCCGGAACGGTGCGTTGTCCTGGATCATACTTTGCGTCGTCGGTGAGATGGAGGTTCATTTCGAGGATCGCGCCGCGAAGACCGCAGTACACTGTATCCGACAGATCAGATGATTTGGCCAGACAATAGATCCTATCGAATGTTGGACCGCCGATATGTAGTGTAGCATCGGGACGCCAGTAATTCCGTCTGGATGTACCGTGCCAGTTACACAACAGTCCAGCCTGGGGATCGCAACCCTGAGGTTGACAGTCTGGCGCCCAGCCTTGCCTCCACATCTTGTGGTCGTCCTTTTGGCTGGGAAAAGGCCATTGTGTTGTGCATGGAAGAGCGCTTGTGTGGTGATACGGCTTGGGGTATCTAAAGTCAAAGAGACGGATATCCGGTGATGTGTTACTGCCAGCTACGAAACGCTCTGTTCCGTAGACGAGAAGAGAACTACCTGCTTCATATGGCTGGAAGCGATCACGGTAGACTGCGTCTTGAGGTGAAGGAGTTCTTATATCCAATAGTCTTATGAGAGGTAAGTAGCTGGTTCAAGTAGTCGCGGAAGAGAAACTCACCTGTATGTACCGTCGTCCCACGTGCTCAAGAGAAGATTCTCATTTCCTCCCCTGACAGGCTCAATCGCTCGGACTGTCGTCTTCTCGCCCATTCTGACATCAGTCAACTTGGCAGCATCATCAAGCGGCCTTGGGTTATTAGCAGTATTGGTGAAGTGTATACCCGTTGGCGTGAGTTGTCCCCAGCGTAGAGGGTTTCTGCTCGCACCCAAAGCGCAAGCCACGACATCTTTGCTCATGAATTTGGTGCTTCGTAGGAACGATGCTTCATCATCGGGACTTGTCTTTGAGAAGTCGTAGGACTCTATGGGAGTCAATCCTGAGTCGTCCGATGCCGAGAGATCGTAGAGCATGAGGGTAGAGCCTTTTCCGCTTGCGAGACGATTCGCCTCTGGTTGCCACTGCAAGGATGAGACTGAAGTTTGGCCCGGCGACTTCCTCATGTCAGAAAGACTATCTCTTAGTGACCCATCTGTTCCCTTCAGTTGTCGTGAAACAGATGTAAAGTTATCCTTGCCAGATAGTATCTGGATATCTCCATTGGCTCTCCCGACAACAACGCCTGGTACCTCATCATACTCTATGACAGATACTGCTGTGACGTCTCCGATGCCTCCTTTGTACCCATGAGCCTGGCCCGGGATTTGATGCCAGGTATCAGGTTGTCCGTTCACGGGCTTTATTCGCACCATGAGATTCTCACCCACGCCAGCCGCGAGAACATCAGTCTGAAGTGACGATGAAAGCCGAGCATCGAGGACAGTGTGGAACAAAACCGATTGGCTTCCAGCTACCCTGCGATGAAACCTCTCTGGCTGCTGCTTCTTTTCATGAAGGACGTTAATCCAAAACCCACGCTTCTCCCAGCAACGATCAAGATACGTTGCCCGGTCTGCAATTGCACTCCATCGAGTATCATCATTCGTCGCTATTCCCAGTGAAGGAAATCTAGTTTTGACAAAAGTCCGCCAGCCATCCTGTTTAACAAGAGAGCGAAGATGTTTTGTCAAGGCCGAGACGTGCGCTACGTCACGAGCCGTGTCGAGATGCTCAACGATATCGAGAACGAGGTCATCTGGGAGACTTGCCAGAGATACCTTATCCATGGTTTATTCTTGGTTGAGGAGGTAGATTTTGTTGTATCAAGGGCATTTCGCCGAGGAATTTTAGATGGTTATGATGGCGTCTCTTTTTTTTTTTTCAACGCCGCTTTTCAATGAGTCGGTAAGGTTTATCAAGGAGCAGAATTCGAATTCGGCGGTTCCATAAATTAAGAATATTTTTATGTCCTTGTTTACCTATGAAAAAGGAAAGAATGATTCAATAGAAATGAGAAAGGCACAAGATCACTTTCCTAATGAGTCAGGATTTGTTACATTGCTTACTTACTTCTTATTCTCACTAGTTAGTGCCTGTCTGCCTAGAATTGATACAAAACACAGCGTCATTGCGGGTCTTGACAAAAGTTGGCCTCTTAAGTCTTAGGGTACAAAAATAAGTGGTCTAAGAAGTATAGTCTAAGGAGCATAAACTGGCCTACTAATTTCGTCTCTTATGCTTCTAGCGGTCAATTTTTCTGATACCCTGAGACTGAGATATCTCAAGCATTCCTCATTCATGGGCGTCTCATCTCGTAAATAAGTTTTGCACAAACAATATGTTTTTGTTTTGTTTATTGAATTTATGTACAGTAGCCAGTTTGCAATTTCAGTTGACAATACTGCACCCCAGTCGGCCAAACAGAAAATCAATGAGTGTGTTGTAAACCATCCCTCCTTTGACAATTCAAGATACCTCCTTCATTAAGTCACAATAGCAAATAAAAGAAAATGGTGTATGCTGGGAAATCGTCACAAATCTGTCGCTGTCGCTGTCCTTCTCTGTATGAAGTCCTGTCATGATAATATCTGGCTTGCAGACTATCTTGTGCTCAGAGTGTCAGCAAGAAGTCTGGATCCCTGAACTAGAAATTCGGCTCAATACCCAAGTCAACCGAGAAGCAGTCCCCTTACATATGGCCCAATATGTGTCCAAGGGACTGCCCTCAATTATTGCGACATGATTGTCGTATTGAAGCCCGAACGGTAACGTATAATAAAAGTAGTAACATGCGTCCCGTACAAAGCTACCCATGGTTAAGCCTTGTAGAGTTCATGTTGCATTAAGATAATCATCCTTGGCATTCTAAGCCCACACTCAAATCCGGTTGAGTGCTTGTTCCTCGATGCCGTTAAACCAACTTCGGCCCAGAACCAGCCTCGCGTCATGTATACCTCCATTTCCCCTATAGGGGACGAAGCACTGTGGACCAGACGGGAATGGAAGATTGGGAGATTCCCATTGAAGGTCGGCAAAGACGAGGTACCGAATGGGAGCTGATGTTCCGTCGGGAGTAAGGACTTCTTCATAGGTAGGTGGGCCTGGAATAAAGCAAGGTGGTTGTCCGGAAGCCGTCCGAAGCTTATTAAGATACGACTGGGAAACGAAATTGTACTTGAGGCCGCCGTTGTAAACAACGATCTCTCGGGATGTATATCCATTCGCAAAGGTCAGCCTGGCGGAGTAGCCTCCCTGGCCAGAGTTTAGATCCAGGGGCGGTGGTGGCGCCCGTCTTTGGATCTCGCGGGCTATGTCTTCCATGTGTCGTTCAAATTCAGCCGGACTCATACCTTCTGGATCGAAGGCGTTCCAAAAGTCACTAGAGGAGCCAAAAGGTAGTTCCTCCAACGCTGTCGGGATACTTTCAAGATATTAGAGGAGCAAAGAATATAGCATGGACGACAATACTAACTTGGGATGGGCTTTGTAAACAGCTGACCTTGGTCCTCCTATCAGGCCTCCTTCATCGACACCGGATATTCCTATATCGGTCACTTCGGTAGCAAAGGTCAAGTTTGAGTTCTGGCTGTTGAGTTGTGATGCAACACTCTCGGGTGTTAAAGCCAACGATCCAGGTATGACCGTATTGTGGGTGATCCCTTTAGAATCTCCAGGTCTGTTATCAAGCTCGACAAGCAAATCAGTATGGTCAAACTGCACTGGAGTCCTGAGGTTCTGGTCTGGCTGCGCAGTGTTGTTGATAAAGTCTCCCGGAAAAGGCGGGCCAGATGTTCGGGTTAAAGATCTGGTACTGGTTGACGAACTAGTCTCCATAATTTGTCTTGTATGTGATTGTACTGCTTGAAGACGTGGCTGTCTATTTCTCGGGTTTCTCTGACGCTCTGCTCTTTTCCTCTCACGCTCTGCTCTCTTGCTTGATGTTTTAGTAGTGACATACCCGTATAATTGGAGATAGAGTAAGTGTCTTTCGAGTTCTCGTTTGGACTTTCTATTAGGATTCAAAGATTTACTGAGAAACATTGCCACATTGGGCTACGCTCCTTAGTATTTGAAAGAGAGTATTGAAAGTGCAGGAAAGGATATTTGAGGAGAAAAGAAATAGCGGCAGAGCGGCAGGAAAGTAGGAAAGCCTTACCTACCCAAGCTTCACCTTTGAGCAGACCAAGAAGTGCTAGACAGGAGAGTATCTTCAGGCCTAATTGGATATGGGGGAGGGGGGCCATGCCATATAGTAGCCCTGGGTATTGCATTCTCTCTGCAGAGCCTCAATCGGCCAGGGGCGTATTGGAAGGAGATGGCCAAGGTGTTCATGTTGTAGTAGGTAATTTACATTGGGCACTCATCGCTGGCGGACAAAACAACAAAGCGGGCTGCCACTCTGTTGCCAATAAGCCATCGTGGAGAATCTGCCCTCGGATCCTTCTCCCCCTATGAAAAGAGGTTATTATTTTCAACCTGGCCTACTCTTCAGTTCAAATTCTGCCGTCTGATCATGCGGTCATCTTGTTTAGGAACCAAGGTATCATCGTGGTTGGTTGGGTTGGCCTCGGAGAGAGGGGCCGGGGGCAGTTGATGAGAAGGTAAAGTGATAAGTGGAATAACAAATGGGAATGGAGACGTGATGATATGGATTGAGCATGACATAGATGTGTATTCCAGGGTGTTGTAATTGCCGCAACTGATACTCGGCGTGAAGTCGTCAAGAGAAAGACAATAAACTCGAGGGATCCGACTCTTTGAATTGTAATTTCCAAATCATCTCTTGCATCGAGATATTAGGCTAATGCGATGCGATGCAATGTGATGTGATGAGAAATGATGTGACGACGCAGCTCCTCACATAAAGGTGTCATCCTACATACGGCAACAGGAAGAGGTGGGTGCGTTCATTGTCTCAGCTGCAACCTCCCCATCTGGACTCAGAGCCTGATTCAATACATCCCATCTCTCTCGGCAAAAACACTCCTTACCTACCAACCCAAGTTGGCATGCAACACTCCAAAAGGGCATCTGATGACCCCGTTCTTAGAAGTAGTTTCAGAATTCTTTTTCAATATTATAAGATTCGCCTCAATTCCAGTTCCACAAAGTTCCATTCCCGAATATCATGGTGTCGTTATTTGAGGCTCTAGAAATTCTTCTTCAGGCTTTGCCTACAAGTCCTGTATCCATCCCACCCTTATTCCCTTCCACATTGGGACTGTTGATTCACTCGTTTTAACAGTCACCTCTCAACTTCCTCAATTATCCTTATGTCAAGTTTCGTCTCCAGAGTCGTGTAAGCCTCAATCATTCCTCATCTTCCTCGCCAACTCAGCATTGACTGGTCTAACACAGAAAACCGAAGAAATGCCATATGAATGCACTGGTACTGATAGTAACCTCGCCATCATAACGCATTGGGGGCCACTTACTGCGGATCAACCCTTGTTGAAACAACAGCGCGAATCCCACGGCCCATTTCGCATCACTACTCTCGTATACGGAAGAGGAAAAAATGGCCTCATATCCAACGAACTTGCCGAGAAACTGCGAATCGTCGACAATAAGCAAACCACTAAAGTCCCTCCTGTTGTTTGTATCTCTTGGACATTCGAAGGACCTGATCAGAACCTTGAGACCAGTCAAGTTCACATCGTTCCTGGACTCCAGCAGGATCTGATCCTAGGAGACGATACTGACGAACTCTACCAAAGTGTCCACATAAACCGTCCTGAAGAATCATTGCCTTGTCAGCTCAACACTAGAGAAGACTTCGAGAAACACGGTATCTTGACTGCAGACAAACGGTCTGAAAACGAGTTAAAATACCTGATCAGCCTCTGTGGTTCCAAGACTCAACCGGACAACACCAACACCAACATTGCTGACTCGGAACCAGAAGACATTCAAAGACCATTAGAAGCCAACTTCGGGTCACTGCCTAGCGTAACACCTGATAGCATCAGCAACACTGGCTCAGACGCCGACAACTATATCATGGACTTTAGTAATAGCATCCAGAATGTTTCATTCCCGCAGTTCTCTCATTCAGGTACTTCTGATAAACAATGCGGTGCCTACTACAATGCTACTGCTCACCCGAGACGCACTCACTCCCAGTCTGGCCTCAAAGATCACGCCAACAATTGTGGTTGGGAATCATCCCTTGAATCGACGTCTTGTGCTTCACAGGTAGATTCTCCCATCTCCAATTGGTCCTTCGTAGAAAACGAGCCTGGAGAAATGGAGGATCAAGAAGTGATACAGCAGTGTCAACGAAGCGACTTTGAAACGCACCCGGGCCATCGCTTCTGGATTTGGGATCGTCAAAGGCAACTCTGGCGCCTAAGAGGGCGTGATGGGCTAGATGAGAGAGACTGGTTCACGGAATTGTTTTTTCAATAACATCAATTGAAGGTAAGCAACCCATTTCCTTGGTCAGCAGATGATTGCGAGCTTAACAGAAAGGACAGGTCCGGTTATATGGCAGGCGTTGGTTGTGGTATATCTAGTAATATAAGGAAGGGTTTATAGATTTCACTTACTTTATATAGTGATTTGTATACCAAATAGGCTATCAGTACTAATACTTGATTTTCTTTGTTTTTGTGGGTTCCAAGGGTAGCTAAGTGACCGAAATTGAACATCTTTCACAGATAGCACAAAGCCAAAATATATTCGCATCGTTGTCTGACTATCCAATCATAGTATATGCACACAAAGTAAAAACGCCATGCACCAGCAAATACGCCCATCTCCTTCCAAATGATGACGCCTTTCAATGCATGTCCTGTTATAACAAAAGATGCAGCGCTCGTACGCCCTTCTCAGCTACTGCGATATGCCAAGGCCGAACATCCATCTCACGATCTGTGACGCCTCTAGCACGGGCCAAAGTACCAAGACCCCTAAAGTAGCATAGCATCTCTCTTAGGAGAGGCTCGTATGCGCGTGGGGTAGCCTCTGTATGAACAAGGTTGACTTCCATCACGACTGGAGGATCTTCAATCTTGATTCCCGTCCGTTTGATCAAGTAACCACTGGCAAGCGCAGGTCGTACTTCAAGAAGTGTAGTAGAGTTGCCAAACCGATGTGCAGCGATGGCGCCCCATGTTTGGTCAGTGGCGTCAATCAAGAAAGAATCGGCGTCTGGTTCAGTGACACTCTCAGCACCTGGAGTGGCAGCCAGGGTATTTTCCCGCATAGGAGTTGCTGGAGTCGTTGTTTGCTCCGGCGAGACAATGTTAGCCTGCGGCGTGGACACGGGTGTTGAGTAGAATGCCGAAGTTGCCGCATGAGGAATCTTTACGACGGGAGGCACAAGTTGTAGGGATGGACTAGTGTCAACCGACATCAAGATCATCGTGAAAGAGTACTTGTCATCGAGTGTTGATGCTGCTTGCCACCACTCAACCTCTTTCTGATCCATCGGTCCGGCTCTGGTAATGATTACTCGCCATTGAACTTTCCATATCGATATCATGCTCAACGTCGTCGCCCAGATTTCAGTTATGATGGCCGCTTTGTGCTGGGAAGCAGATCGGTCAGGGGTTCTGCTCCGCGTAATCGAGTAAGATGCAGTGGCTTGTCGTTGCCCACGGTTATCTGTCCATGCAGCCGTGATCCATCGACCATCAAGGCTTTCAGCGTAGCCCACATGAATACATGAGTTTTCGTGCATAAGGGATTGAGAAGGCGAGGTAGTCAACTTGAAGTCAATCATTCGAGGCGGAGGCTGTTCAAGCATGACCGCAGGTGCAGGGGTAGGACCGCCATATTCAGGGGCCAGAAACAGCGTACATCTGTCGTAAGTCTCTACACAGAGTTTGATCATTTCTGCGGGAGTTGGAACAACTAGAGATGTCGTTGATGATATCAGGTTCGACGACACAAGCTGCAAAACCAGCTCGTTCTGCGGAGATTCTTTGCGAGCTGCTAGGAGTTCACTATACTCATCAAAGCAGCGGTAGAAAGCGGTGCAAGCTTCGATGATAGAGGCGGGATTGTCAGGTGAGTAGACGAAGTAAATGACCAGATTCTTGTCCTTGGACTTCAATTCTGATAGAGAGCTTCGGAGCACTTCCATGCTCTCCACTAGAGAGGAGCCATGACCAGTAACAGTTGCGTCAGGTGAGGTTGAGATCCTATCGACCTCATAAGGCAAAATGCCGTCGTCCCAGTCTCCAGATAAGGGCAGGTTGTTGAAGGTACCTAGCTTCAGCGATTCATATACACTCTTTGAGCGGCTGAGAAAACTTCCGACGTGATCTGGCATTCCCTTCCAGCCAGGAAATATGCAAAGGGCAGTGACATCCTTTGCGCCCCACGAAGGTGACAGTCCAAGACCTTCCCAGAAAGAGATAGATGACGGAAGTACGGATAGTTTCGTTTCCGATCTGCGAACCTCGAGGTGAGGTACTGGAATCTGGTAGAGGTTGTTGGCCCGTAGTTGCTCGACATTGGTATCCCTGCCAGGTATCGGTCGGGGTTGCATGCGATTTGGCTGCCCCACGAGTGGTAGGTCTAGTATCTCAAGCAATCCTTTTAATCGTACCGCCATAGCGCTTCCTAAATTCGAGGGAATAATGTTGTGAAGGAGCTGGAGCGAACTACGGGCAACATTGAGCTCATGACCTTTCATTGTTGCAAGTGCAGCAGACTCTTTCCTGTGATCAATACCGATATCAAGTCGGCCAGTGGCAGCTTGTTCGGTGACAATTTGTGCAACCTCAACGAACTCGAGGTTAGAAAGTCCCACTTCTGCATTGAGAGGCTCCGGATCCGAAAAAAAGCGATGAAGCGGCAGTTCTGGTGACTCGGTCTTTGATAGCTTGGGTAGTTCGATCGCAAACTGCTCTTCAGTGGCATCGTCTATCAGGTCTGCCTCGCGCGATGTTGTGGCTTGCGAAAGTGCATCATCATCCACAACTGTCCGTTTCACGCTGGACTTGATCGGTGACATAGGGCCACCAGAGATTGAACTTAGGTCATCCGCCTCTGAATCGACATCACTATCTTCGGAGAAGGATGCATTGCCGTTCGATTTTTGGGCATTTGTATAATTAGCAGATCCGTCTACGCCAGTCAAGCTTCTGATCAAAGACACACCAGAGAGGGTCTTGGAATCCGGCTTGATCTTCCCCTGTCGTTCAAGGTATTCATCTCTGGAAAGGCCTTCAGTATCACGCTTCAATTCCCCACTGCCCTGATCCTTTGAAAAGTCAAATGCACCGCCGTGTTCGTACTTCTTGTTGATCAGGGGGATCTTAGGGTCAAACTCGACTTTCTCAAAAATGCTACTCTTGCGCCGAAGAGGGGCTTGAAAGGTGAAGTTCTCCTGCGTAGGGCTAGCCAGAGAAGCTTTGACTCGCTTGAACACAGTATCTGGGTCAAAGGGGCTGGATCCTCGCTTGTTGGAATTTGACCGTTCAGTCTTGACCTTGTGGTTGATCTCATCATTGAGGGAGCTCCTGGCGTGTTTTAATTCTGGCTTCGCAAAAACAGGTTCATGGGTCTTGGGTTTTGACTTGATATTGGGCTTTGGCTCGATAACTTTCTGGGGTTGCGGTTGCGTGATCATCGGCGGGGGCATCGCTTGAGGGGGCATTGCTGGAGTGAGTATCGCCTGAGGGAGTATCGTTTGAGGAGGTATTGCTGGAGGGGGTATCGCTTGAGGGGGTGGTGGATGCGAAATTGGTTGTAAGTCGGCTATGTCGATATCCATATCGTTGCCATCAGGTCCATCAAAAAAGTTGAAGTCGTCTTCTGTCACATCATGATCACCAAATACATCTCCGCCCATACCGTTCATTATATCATCGGTATCGCCAAGCAAGTTACTGTCGCTTCGCTCTCTCTTTTGTTCATGGCCACCGTCCCACGTATCATGGTCAACGTCAGCCATCAATGTTACTGTCGGCATCGTGGCATCTGCGTCAACAACTGCAAGAGTTGGGTGGTGGTTATTAGGACTGGAGGTCGCCCCGTCTATAGAAGGAGTAACGCCGAGGTGCTGTTGGATAGCGTCAGGAGGAGTCGGATACATGACACCAGCAGCGGCCGTACTTGGACGCCGTACTGATAGTGGAGATTGGCCGTTGAGACTTTGAGCTTGGAGGTTAGCAACATTGACCTCTTTTGCGGCAGTATGGGCACGCTCGGCTTTTCGCCTGGAAACTCTCTCTTCCCTTTCAGAAGTACCAGCAAACCATCCACGAGCATCACCCAAAGGATCGTGGCATTCCTCGTGGCCACTCAGCATGGTATTTCCCACACGGTGAGTCGTCGATACCTCCAATAATTTCTTGCGAAAGCAAAGAGCTCCTGGCCATGGAACGGTGGCACGCAGTCGCTTCTGCTCTCCATCTACATCCTGCGAGGTCGGCTTCATGATGAGAAGATTGACCCATGAGCCCGCTTTGAAATTAGACGGATTAAGTCCACAATATTCGAGGGCTTTAAGGCACGAATGTTTCCAGAGTGAATCATTTGCGTCTGGGAAACTTCTGACGCTCAAAGCTTGTGTGTTCGGCGTCTGTACAAGACTCCGGTCCGCGTCTCCGTTGGAAAAGCTGGATTTCGTAGCAAAAACTCCATAAGGGGCAGCTAATATCGGACCGCTCGACGAAGTGGAATCTCCAGAAAGAACATCTTCCACCGTAGCCAGATTCTGACAATAAGAGAAGTAAAGACTGACCACAAGAGAACCTGTGGTTGTAAGATAAGTTTTGAATGTACCGATAACAGGATCGGCCTGCAAAGAATCCTTTTCATGTTCGTTTCTATCGGCTTGCAACGGTGGGATTAATATTGTCCTGTAGTTGAGAGGAACCGCCATAGATTGGCTACAAAACGCAAATGTTATCGCGGAAATTACTGCAATGATGAATTGCTCGTATATAATCTTGGGTACTGGCTGTGTCGTCTTGGTGTCGACAGGCTGAGCCGGAAGTTGAACGCCTCCTTCTGCTTGAGTCCCCACGGTTTGTGTAGGTGAAATTAGGGGGTTGCGCTGATGCGGTTCAGCTGGAGATGTGATTGCGGCCGTGTTTGTTGCAGCATTTTGTGTTGTGTTGCCAGGGATGCGGTTCTTCTGTAAAGCAGCAGGTTCGAGTGTGCCCTCCTCGACCATTCCCAGCGTGTAGCCACAAGCTTCAAGACTGACACCCGAGCCAAAACTGACAGCCTTGCTTGCTCCATCTTTGTTGGTGATCTGAAAGATCCATATCGCTCCTCGGTCGGTGTCGTACGAGACTAACTTTCCTTGGTCACGAAGTGTACTTTGAATCTCAAGGGCGGATGATTGGAAGCTATGCGATTGGTCTATGGACGGCTCGTAAATGCGAAAGGCTATCGACGCGATGTTGTTCTACAGATCCAAGTGTCAGATGGTGAACGAAAGGGAATGTTTGTACCACTCACTATCGACAGAGTATTCGTTTCATATTCGCTGGTCTCCATTGCGACAGTTTCCTCGCCGCCCCGAAGTCGCAACCGTGAAAGCGGTTTAATGCACAACGGCTAGGCGCAAGCCTAGATGGGCCCGGTGCTTATCGTTGTCACCTTTAAAGGCAGTCAAAGGGAGGTTAACACGGGGATCCTCGAAATATGGTTGTTAAGATTGTAGTTGTTGGGGCCGTCGATTCTCCGGACTCCATCTCAACGAACGAGACACTGGTGCCGAGCGAGCAGCTCGGAGATGGCGCCGCGGGGAGCTTATTAGGTACTCGGTCGGTAAGATGAGTGTTCGAACTGTAGGAATTGAAATAGAGTTAAGCCATTAGACCTATGCTGTGCTGTCTTGCAATTAGTGATCGGTGGGTTGATGTTCTGTATTAAATCGATGTTTGATGATATATTCGACGTCTGTCGCGATTCAGAGAGTAGGCGAGATAGAAATTCAGTGGAGGTTCGTACGGGAGCCAGGGCCTCAGCTAGGATGGGGCGCCAGAAAGTAAGTAAACAGGGACGTTTTAGGGGGGTCCCTAATGGATGTTTGATGGAGGACGTCAGTTGCACTTAGGGGCCCTCCCAAAGCGACTAGGTTTATTACGGACGTAGCCTATTGACTTTCCGATAGACAGATAGGAGCAGGTGGCCCGATGGCCGGGGAGGTCCCTTCACCGAAGCCTGGTCACCGAGCTCACCGAACTTGGTGGGGCAAGCTTTTTCTTCACCTTGATTTTTTTCTAACTACAGTCCAGTCGCATCCGCTGGACGCAAAACTTACTACCTGCAGCACAACAATCTTTGTTCTTGCGATTCACCAAGAACAACGCCGCCATGAAGTTGTCAAACCCGGGAACCGTTCCCGTATACACAATCTCGGGCGCATCTTCAGCCCGACCTCTTCCCGACTGGCTTGCGCGACGCAGAAAGCGAAGTTTGAAGGATGATGCCGAATACCAGAATCGTGTCGAGCTCCTACAGGATTTCGAATTCGAAGAGGCCAGCAACTGCATTCGAGTCAGTGAGGATGGTGACTGGATTATGAGTACTGGCACATACAAGCCGCAGATTCATGTTCACAACTTATCTCAGCTGTCGCTGTCTTTCGCCCGTCACACCAACGCCCTCAACCATTCCTTTCAACTTTTGTCGTCCGATTACTCCAAGTCTATCCATCTACAAACCGATCGCCGCCTCGAATTCCACACTCCCATGGGCTGCCACTATGAAGTTCGTCTTCCCAGATACGGCCGAGACCTAGTCTACGACCGACAGTCCACCGAGGCTCTTGTACCATCTGTCGGCCTTGATAGTGATGGTAAGGGCGAAGTATTTCGCCTAAACCTCGAGTTGGGACGTTTCATGAAGTCTTACCAGGTTGATGTTGGTGGTGACGATGAATTAACTGGTGGTGGTCTACAAGGAGGCATTGGAGTCGGTAGTGTCAACACTGCAGCCATCGCAGAAAACACCCACAATTTGCTTGCTTTCGGAACTTCGATAGGAACTGTTGAGTTCTGGGACCCTCGATCCAAGTCAAGAGTTGCCATGTTGGGCGGCCATGACGGTGAAGTTACAGCACTCGACTTCAGTCCTTCAGGTCTTTCTATCGTCACTGGCTCGTCGACCGGCATGATGCAGATTTTCGATCTTCGACGGCCTGTGCCTCTCCTGAAAAAGGATCAAGGTTATGGATTTGCAGTAAAGAAGCTTATACACATGACAACGGCATCCCAAGAAAAGAAGATCCTCTCAGCTGATAAGCGCATCATTAAGCTGTGGGATGAACAGACAGGAGACCCATGGACGTCCGTGGAACCTATCGTTGACATTAACGACGTTGCCTGGTGTAAAAACACTGGTATGATCATGACAGCCAACGAAGGCAAGCAGCAGCACGCATTCTTTGTTCCCCAACTTGGTCCCGCGCCCAAGTGGTGCTCTTTCTTGGACAACATGGTCGAAGAGATGGCCGAGGAGGTGCACACCGAAACATACGACAACTACAAGTTCTTGACACTCCCCGAACTGAAGCAACTAAGCTTGTCTCACCTTGTTGGAAAGACCAACCTGCTCCGACCATATATGCACGGTTACTTTGTGGCTTCCAAACTGTACGAGCAGGCTAGGTTGATTGCTAACCCCTACGTCTGGGAGGAAGAGAGGACGAAGCGTATCAAGGATAAGGTCGAGAAGGAGCGTGCAAGCAGAATCAGAGGCACCAAGAAGGTCAAGGTCAACCAGAAGTTGGTTGACAAGCTTCTCAAGAAGCAGGAGAACAGAGAAGAAGTCGATACCAAGGCTGGTGTTCTTGGCGATGATCGTTTCAACAAGATGTTCGAGGATGAAGCCTTCCAGGTCGACGAGAATACTGGAGAATTCCGCTCCCTCAACCCAAGCACTATGGTCGAACAGGCCATGCAGCCTAAGGGCGCCAAGCGTTACCAGGCCAAGGACTCCGATGACGATCAGTCCAGCGATGAAGATATGGATAAGCCTGTCACCGCACCCAAGAAGAAGTCCAAGGACGATGATGATGTTGTCATGCGTGTTACGTCAACCAGTAACCAGGGGCGAGCTGTCAGGGATACAGCGCTTGGCTCAAGACAACAGAAGTTCGGGCGCGACAACAAGGCCCGTGGTGAAGTTGTCGGCGAGCGACAAGTTTCATTTATCCCCGAGTCAAGGAGGAAACAGAAGGCGCGAGAGGAGGAGTTGCCCGCCGAGCCTCGAGACAAGCGAACTGGAGCTGCTCGACGAAGTGCCAGCGGTAATACATTTAGACGGATCTAAGAAGGAGAAAATAGGCGCTTGGAATTCATTATCAAAAATAGCAAAGGCGTTATCGTTCAGTTCATGGAGAAAAGATGAGACAGCCCATGCGTGGAGGGTTACTATTTATACATGAATGATACCCGGATCCTGTCCGTTGGAAACACCAGTTCAAGGCCGCGACCACCCGAATATTGTGTCAGACAACTTCCTGCGACCTTTCTCTACCAGTGTAGTTGCCAGCTGAGCCATTCTTGGCTGACACTTCTATGTTGCTGTCTACTTTCTTGCCCACTTCTTCTCCTTTCGCTTTGCCTTGGCTTGTGCTAGTCCCTTTTCGAGATCTTCAGGTCGGATTCTTGGTGTTGGGGGGACATCATCTTCAATCCGTGTACGGTTGCGATGAGTTGGAATAGACCCGTCCTTGACTGAAGATGGGAACTCTGTTCTTCTGGGTGTGAGAGCGGTGACAACCTTGCGGGCAGACTTTCTAAGCGTCTCTCGCATTGTCCATTCACGCTTCTTTGCGATGAAGAAAAGAGCAGCTGTAGAGACTGTGATGAGGTTAGCATATGTAGCGAGACAATACATTGGTGATACATACTACCGACTAAACTGACAACAACGACAACAATAACGATAGCGATCATGCCGCCTTGTGAGATAGAAATGGAGTTTCCTGAACTGTCGCCAGCAGCACCGGCATCGGTGCCAGTGTCTGCACTTGGGGCATCATTGTATACTTCCGATGCCAATGGGAAAGGGTCGGTTGTTTGAGACATTATGATTGAATAAGAGCTGAGTGCTGGTATTTGTTGTTCGAGAATGTGCAAAAGAAGGCTCACAGAACCTTAGATAGTATGGAAGAAAGCAACAACACGATATAATTAAGATAAAAGGACCAGAATTTTCATAAGAATATAGCCATATTGAGAGGATGTGCATTGTATTTACATCCATGGATCTCTTTTCTTTCATCCCCCACATAGGTTGCACCCAGCCCAGGCTACCCCTTGATACCGACTTGGCCCTCAACTCCCGAAGGTTCAAGACGAATCGTTATTGGATCCTCATTGCTGGGTCGAGACTCAAGCACAACACAGGAACCGCGATATAGGTACATGCTTGGTTGTGATTGGTGATCGCCGAGCTCGAAGCGCTGAGCGGCAAAGCCTCAAACAGGGGTCCAACCAATAAGATAAGCGTATAAGCACTTGAACAACCGCAATGCTCGTTGCTCGTCACGCGCCAAAGGGTGATTAATGCAGGGCCGTTGCTTGTGCCCAAGGAATATTTTTCTTATGTTTCACAGAGATGAGCCGCTGGATTGGTCCTACAGAGTCTTAGTCTAGGGATTAAGTTGTAGTGCATGTGGGTGTTTGGAGATGGGTTTCATTCTGACATAGGTCGGTGATAACAGCGGCTGGGACCAATATAGTGAGGGTGACCTAAGCGTCTCTGACGTCCATCTCTAAGTCTCATGTGAAGCGCCCAGGTTCAGAAATAGGTCTTGTATGCTTCTCTTGCATTTTCCTGACATTGTGTGGCCGACGTTGACGTTTCGTCTATTTCCTTAATTTCGAGATAACCGCCTCTGTACTGCCTTGTCTTTAAGCGAACTGTTTAGCCATGTAGTACAATTTGAACTTGAATAGATCATGATTGTCAGGTTTGGTGTTGTAGGGCAGCTCAGCGAGATGTTGCCTTTCTTTGAGACGGTCTCTTTTTGCGAGGAGCAATCCCCTGCATGATCTACAAAAGTCCTTGTCGACAGGGTTTGTGAGGCCGTATGTGATATCACTCGATAGTCATATTGAGGTTGTATTATCACAAGGAACTGTTTTCTCATTCTAAAGGTTCACACAATCCTTGAAGCAGTCAATTACCCGATTCGTGTTTATACCTAAGCGTGCAAACTATGCCCAAGAGAGTGCTCTCGTGAGAGGAAAAGAAGACACCATCACCTAGGCTTACTGTGTGCTGGGTATCGAAGTAGGCAGGAAATGGCGAGAGTCGCCTTTAGGTATAGAAGAAGTGGAAGCAACAGAGACGAAATAAGGTTAATTTATGCTTTTCAGACCAGACTCTTTAAGTTTATACCATAAAGGCCAAAGGTCAAAGGTCAATGTTTCTATTACCCACCAGACGCAGCAACTGTGATAGGAGAGTAGAGTGGCAGAACTGAACCGAACAGATAAGGAATAAAATGTTGGAATTGCGGCTACTGTACAAAATAATGG